ATGTGGATGTGGGAACACTCTAATCCACACTCTGTCTATATTTAAAGACAGATCAATATGAGAATGGATGGGAAGTAAGAAACCATGCTGAGTAAGCTGATCACTAGTTTCTGTGACTTTTCTCATCAGAAAAATTCTCCCTTAAGATTAGCCTATTGCCATCATTTAGTATTATGTTTCGTATACTAGTGAATATTTCCTCTGCTTTCCTATTCCCTCTCTGAAGCATAATTTTCCATGTGCAAACAAATAGCTTCATTACTGGAAATAAGCAAAAAACTGGACTGTGTGAGGATAGACAGCAGTAATAACAAATATCTTATTTCATTTATAAAAATGTTTCCTGCCAGGAAACACTGGTTCAACCAGCCCACAATGCTAGAAAAATGGTGAGACTGAAGCACATAAAAGTTTTGTTGTCTGCAGCTTATTTCTGCTGGTTAGATGCTATTAAAAATCACTCAGCTTTGAGTTAAAGACATTAAGCTTAGGGGATGTTTATTCATAATTTAAGCTAGTTAATAATAGAAAAGTAATATGGAGAGAAACTGACACTCTCCATTTCCATTAAAGTAATAAAAATTGTGATTATAAGCCCATACTTCATGCTAGTAAGAACCTAGAGCTTTTAAGGCCAGATCTTGCACTTTCAAGTATTTGTGTTTTAAGCAGAAATACAGACATGTAAATGTTATTCAAGATGTCAGGTCATTAAAATGCCATTTGTAAGATCCTGGCAAGATCTTTCTTAGGGCAACCTACAAGACAGGATATGAAAATAAATGATAGCTCCTGTCATAAAACAAGCCCTATGCAGAATTTCTGATACTTGCTGGTATCACTTTTCTGCCATTTGATGTGCTATTGGTATCTCTTTTTTTTTTTTTTTTAATTTAATAAAATGAATGTTATTCTGCCTTTTCTCCTGACTAAATAAAATGTTTTATAAAATAGCTTTTAAAAGTCCATTACCTTCCTATTTGTTTCTGCTGGCTTATTTAGGTATCATAAACAGCTAATACTCCACTTTAACCCACAACACAAAATAAATATATTAGTAAAGGAAAATATTGGACAAGAGCACACAATAACTCAGCCAAATTAATGAGCTCTGCCCTTTAATAATAAATGTTTAACATTCCTCCTTACATTTGTCTAATTAATGCAGCTCCAACATAGCTGCAGATATGCAGTTAATAATTGCTCATAAGAGCTTTATCAACTCAAGAAACTTTTCTAAATACCAATAAAACTTTATAATATTGACAGATATTTTAAGATGTAGATAGGCAGATAGATTTCTTTTCAGGGTAACCAGTGTATTATCCCATTCTTGGTGTATACAAATACAGGCAAAAGAGGAGAAATCAAAGATAGCTTACGGTATTGCAAAGAGGAAACAATGAGATTCTATCCACACTACTTTTCCTTGACTATGCTGTACCACTAGAAACAACCATACACCACTGCTTATTGAATCTGAGTGAATAGGGTGTAAATAGCCACTTTAGTTATATACATAGAAAAAGGCTTTGCTGGAAAAAGAATGGAAATCAAAGAAGGCAAAAGACAAAATGCACTCTTAGCTGAAAGAACAAAGATCTTTGCAGCAGAAAGTGTAAAAATTAAATTTGCTAAGGTTTTTTTTGTTTGAGTTTTTTTTCAAGTTCTCAAAAGAGGCTACACATTTTGAGGATCAAAACTAGAAAGAGCCTATCTCGAAATACTTTGTGAACTAATTTAGTACAGTGTCATCAGCGTAGAACTCTGGACATCAGCACTTTACACCAGATGTCCCTGTAGAACAATGTGAAAACATAGCCCATCTTACCTATGTTCCTCAGTAATCCTGAAGGGTCAGGCAGTAGAGCTGAGAACAAAGGTAAACCTGGCACACCTTTTTTTTTTTTTTTTTTTTAAACATACACTTGTTTTAATTTCCTGTGCAGTGTAGGCTTCCAAGAACAAAATGGAATACTTCATTGTTTTAAACAAGTCTATAAAATAGTATAGATTAGATTAATTCAAAAACACCACAAGAAGCAGAATTTTTTTCTCCTTCCTCCTCTAGGAGAAGGGGAGGGAACAGAATACTGAAATGCAAAGAGGGAACTGATCAATATTTGAAGAAAAATCAATTTCAAGAGAATGAATGTCTAGTTACTGAAGGAAAGGATGATTAGATGGGGAAAAAAAGAAAAAAAAACCCACAGTTTTCAAACAGAAAAGGTAACTAAGAGATGTCTATCTAAAGAGAGTTGAAAGCATATACCAAAATTTCAACAGGCAGAGTAGGATTGTGAAGTAAGAAGACATTCATATTTGTGGTAAGAATAAAAAAAGAAATCATTAGAAATTAAAGAGGGAAAAGAGGCGGCATCTTTTACCAGAAACATACTTGTATTTTATGAATATGTAAAACGTTATCAGTTTCAAAAGAAACAACACTTAAAATACATGTCTGAAGAAACAAAGTTCAACAGCTTGATGTGTCTTCTGAAGAACAGCACATCCTGAGACAGTGAGACTTCTCCACCGACAAGGACTGGTACTTCACATACATTGACCTCCTAGCAATTTGATGCTAACAGAAAGGCAAACAGCTGCCTCAAAGCAGAATTTACCCTGTGTCTTTACAGTGGTGCAAGTTTGGAGAAGATGACAGTTTACAGTAAATGCACTTCATTTTCCAACTGGAACCTCTTACTTCATCAGCTTTTCCCATCATCTGTATCTGCAGGAGGCAGAAGCTCTTGCAGCCTGTTCTCCTGCATGCTCCCTGGTGCCTAAGGTGGCAAAGAGCAAGGGAAGAAGGGCAAGGAAGGATTAAAAGGAAGGATTAAAAGATGAAGACAGTAGGGTTGAGGAGGTTGTGGGCACAAGATCTACGATTCATGTTTGGGGAAAGGGCTGTGCAGGAGGAGCAAGGGGCACACTTTCAGGTGGCGCTTGTGAATTGTAACAGATGTTTCCTCTTTCTTCATTGTTACAAAAAATACGTGAAAATATAGCTCTAAAACTTGTTTGGGTGTCCATACTATCTGAAGTTGGACCTCTATTGCCAATGATAATGAACAAAACACAGGAAACTAATAAAGACTGATAAAAGATGGGGAGCAGCAACACTGAAAATGAAAATCCATGAGAGATCGCTCCTTCAGCAACACCAATTGTTTTCTCTAACAGTGATGACTGCTAATGGAATAGAGCGAATGTGTTAAGAAAGCAGGACTTCAGGCACTGAAGTTATAAATACTGAATATAAGGTAAGCCATTATTACATATTCTAACAATATTAACATCCATCTCTTGCAAAAAATCCATGAGGGAACCAAACAACAGCCAAGTTTTGTTTCTATGATAGTTATTTCTACCTTATATATTTATAGTTTAAAATTTACTCTGCTTGTAACATTTGTCATTCCTACTGATGTTACGGAGAAAACAGCTAATATCATGATGCAATAGGTGACTTTCCACATTTCACAACTCAAAAAAGTTTACTTATAATTATCTATTTCTACCTTTGAATTTGCAGAAATAATTTTTCTGCCAACAACAGAAATTTCCTTGATCTTTTCACAGAAACAATAAGCTAATGAGTTGGTTTAAAGCTTTTTCTTAGAAACAACAGGAAAATGCATGCTTTCCTTGTCTTTGTTTTTCCGTTTCAAGCCTTTATTTCCTTTTACACATGAATTGTTCCAAAGCAGCTTTCTAGGATGTAAACATGAAACCACCCTTTACATATATTAAAAACCTGATGTTTTCACAATTGCTAAAGTGTTGCATAGTTGGCATTTTTTGAAAATAAAAGCTGCATTTAAAAGTATTAAGATTATTTTGGTGCTGTGCTGCATGCCTACATATATTTACAGTAAAATGTAGTCCAATCCCCCTCCACACTTAATATTATACCTCTTTGCTCATTTATAAAGTACATACAGGCATTTTTATCTTCATGAATAAATCACCATTGTTGAATGAGATAATCTAAATGTCTAAAGCATTTGTCATGTTGTGTGCACCCATAATTGGTACTTGATTAGAAGGTGTTCAACTATCTTACAATTTCAATGCGTAACAGGATGAAAAGCTTAAAATATACAAAAGATGTGGAAGAAAAATGAGCATACTGGACATATTTATTACGGAGCACCTGTAGACTTGATTTGACTCACTTTCATACTAGTATAAATCAGGTGTGATTCAACTTGGAGAATTCATTGACAGTGCTGATGCTCACATGAATAAAAAAAACCAAAAAAAACCCAAACCTGTTCCCCACCCCATATCCGTTCTTTATTTCAAGATAATTAGACAGTAAGTGTTTTCAGTTCAAAGAAGCCAGTTGGAGCCCTGTGCTGGTTTTGACATGTTTTCCATCCTTAGTGCTGATGCAATGCATTTTCATTGGGTTTGGTACCTCAAGGCTTTGGAATAATATTGCAATATATGTTTAAAGTTCCGTCCCTCGACTTCTTCATGCTAACTCAGACTCCATTTCCTCTTTAAATAGTACAGTAAAAGAATTTCTAGATGTCATTCATTAAAAAGTGCACTCAGTTTAACCTTTTAAAAGTACACTAAATTCATAGTTTGAGGTGCCTTAGAGAAGGGAATAACCAAAGCTTTTTTTTCTTTTACCTTATCTTAAAAAATAATTAACTTAAAAACAGATTTTCCAAATCTTTTATAACCAAGACTTATTTTCACTCTCACAGGCAAACTATAATCCTGTTAAAATATTAAAACACTAATAGGTCCTAATAGAAAAATACACAAGATGACTGTAACTTTAATATAACTTGCCAAAATCAGTTACAACTCAGAAAAATTTCCTCACACATATCTTATTCATGCCATTAGCAACACTAATGGTACAGCAAGGATTCATATACACATTTTAAAAGTATATTAAAGCCCAAGAATGAAACCCTTCCTTGTGGTTCATTTACAGTGCAGGGGAAAAATAAAATCAAAGTACAAAACTGGCTTACTTCCAGTATGATCAGCACGTAGACACCTACTAAGATGATGGACGCAATTGTTACTTGTGCCTCTATATTTGCATGAAGGTATTGATGCCTCATGGAGAGAGGAACACTTCCAGGCTCCTGTAGGAAAGCTTGAATGTTTATGAAGATGGTGCCTCTGGTGAAAGAAAGAGAAGTTTTGCTTATTTCTGGAATTAAATACCGTTAGTTTTATTTATGCATTAATTTTATATTGGGTACCTATAAATACACGTTACATCTTTACAATTGCAAGCAACTTTTTAAACATTTTCACTCTATCCCTCTAAATAGCATTGTTTGGAAAGTAACTGAAGTACAAACCAGCCTTGTAAATCCATTTGAAAAGCAAGAAGTAGTCATCCTTTCCTGCCCCTCTGAAACAGGCAGTGACAGATTATTTTTAAAACGTTATCTACTCCTTCATAGTCAAGTCTATGTAAACTAGTACTTCAATGGATCATTTCTCAGTCTCTTAGCCAACCTGTTTGGTATCTGAAAGGTTCTAGTTGTGATGATTTGCTGATTTCTTCTTGAACTTAAGGGTAGAGACCAGTTGTATACCACCTGCAAGAGAGTCACATTTGGCAACATTAATAAAAGTCAGTGAAAGTGATACATCTCTGATCTAGGGGTTTATTCCTCTGTTTTCTCTCCTGTCCATTTAGGAAAATTTTTTGTGGACAGGGCATAACACACACCAGCCTAAATTAATTCCACCTGATTACATATGTTACAGGTGCTCAGGTTGGAGCAAACTCATCTTCATGCCCGCCCTCAATCAATGAAGTGAGAGACACCTCCAGGGGGTCCTCTGGAGAGGGAATGCCAAATCACACTTTGCATTGACTAAAAGGAGCCTCTAGGCTGAGAGACAGCAATATGGTTCACTCCGAAAGACTGCCTGGGAAGAAAACTAACATACATAAGGTACAGATGAGGAAAAGCCCAGGAGCAACGTCATACCCCCAGACATGAAGAGGATATGGTAGAATTTCAGTAAACAAAATTCCTGTTTGCTGATCTTCTAGCAAAAAGAAACAAAAAAATCTTCAGAAAATAAACACTTTCTGAAACTTTTCCCATTACTACACACTGATATTTATGCAAGTTTAGCCAAATATACTCTTTACATGTAGATACAGATATTCTGTCTTTTTTGAAGAAGAGGAACTTAAAAAATTTGGTTAATTGCAGCCTAAATCCTAAGCCTGTCCTGACCCTGTATGCTATACAGTGCAGAAAAAAACCCTCTTAATCAGCCAGCTTGGAACATCTGACACAGAGAAATGCCTGAGGAGTATGCAGGCAGAAAAGGTTAATTTGGCTACCTACTCCTTTGGTCATGTCAGGACCACTGCTGGCATGGCAGCCGAGGTGGGCTGTTGGAGCCAACTGTGCGCTGGCAGCCCCGCAGCAGCATGAAGGCTGCTTGGGGATCACTGCCAGCAGCACAGGTTACAGCAGCCTCCTCATCACAGGGGTAGGTGATTTAAGAAAATAATTGCCATTATGGTACTGTTTGCTATGCCGAGGTAGTGGAACTAATCTTTTGCTGTAGACTGTGAGATTGGATGTAAGTGGGAATACTGATGGCATTGTTCACCTGTGTTGTCACTGGTAGAAACAGACCATCCTGTCACATATACAAACAACTGACTCTCATTCTGTATATCAATGCTATTAATTAAATGATGAAGCTTATTTTTATTTTTCAGTGGTATACAATGACAGGCTGTAAAAGATCCTCTTTCACTGAGTTCTCTGGGACAGAGCAGCAGGAACTTGTTATAAACATCAACAATGAGACAGCCTTAAGAGAAATAAAGTCAACAAATGTGACACATTTGTGAAAATAATTTGCAACAAAATGTGAAAATGTATTTCAGTGAATGCAAAAAGGCACTTTGCACTTGTTTCTTCCTTCCAAGACAACTTTTGAAATGTTGCCTATTTTAAACATAAGAACTTCCATGCTAAGTGTCAGTCAAGGGCATAAGTTTTACAAAATTTTAATATAGGAAGCTAAAGAAAGTCTTACAAAGACAAAAGAAAATGTAACTTTACTCTTATTAGAATAAGTTTTCTAATGCTGACATTGACACACTTCACAGCGGGGAAAAGCACGACCACTTAATTGGCATGACAGTGATGGAAATATAAGTGATAAAACACATCTCAGAAAAAGTGAAAGAAAATTTAAAGACCATCACCTGCTGCTGCTGTCTGCTCCTTGATCGAGTGTCTTCACTCTGGTTGATCTGTACTACAATGTATTCCTCTGTTGGCTGATCAGCTACATCTGCTACAAATGGGCCTCCTATGTCTAACTTCAACAGAGCAGAATCACGGAAATCGGTCAGATTCATAGCTGTTAATAAAGTTGTTAAGGTGTAAATTTCCAGTAAAAATGGGTATAGGCTGTACAAATTCCAGAAAAAAATATAGATTAGTCAACTTATACTGAAAAACATATTCTTCAGCTAAAAGGCTTAAGAAACTATGAAAAGAATAAAATAGATGTCTACTTCTTCACCAAGCAACACTGTTTTGGCTGGGTTTCCTAAGGAAACAGGAGTTATGGGTTCAGAACAAATACATCTGTCCTTTCCTACTGACTTTTGAGATCACCGGTGCTTTCAGCTGACACTGTAGATGTGCCAAAGCTCCAAAATAGCATACAGAAATACACAAAGAAACAGAAAAGCAAGGCTCTTTAAGTGCTTGTACTAGATGAAGAACTGCATCATTAGCTCAGCAATTCAAACATCACAGAATTTGTACTGGGGAAAATACTGCGGAAGCTCCAACCACAGGGAAAACTAAACCAGAATCAATGTCCTGTTCATGCCAGCAGATTTGCTTTTTGGTCAAAATTTTACTCACAATTTTTCAAACATCTGAAAGACATATTTTCAAGCTCCTCTTAGTTGGAGTACTCACAGACTTTTTCTCCTCCAGCTCCCTCATCTACTTTTTCTTTCTTTCTCTCTTGGATATCTAGTATGAGGTGTGGTCAAACTACATTCCTAGTCTAACATAACTGAGAAATCAGCCAGCCATGATCCACAAAGCCATTGGAAGTCTGGCTCTATTAGTCCCAATATATCTAGGACTATTTAAACTTAGTATTGTGATAGTCCACTTCCAGCATGGTTGAGAAAGAAGCATCCCTGTGGGCTTGAGGAAGAGGGAAAGCCTGAGCTTTTAAACCCTTCATAGTCCTTTTGTTACTATAATAGAGCCATATTGTAATTGTTTTGCTCCTATCTGTGATCAGATAGAAAGCTAAGGCATCACCAACAAAAAAACAAACAAACAAACAAACAAACAAAAAAATCCGGAGAAGGGAAAAGAAGAGACTTGATTTTATACATATACATTCTGTTGAAATCATGCGACTTAATCACAGCTTGAATATCTTAACAGTTTTAACATCTGACATTTAATTGAGCATACTACAAAGAGTGAATCTGTTGCAAAAATATGTACAAGATCATATACCTAACCAGAAGGATTTTCCCAGAAGGATCTTTTGTTGTCCACAGAAGTCAGAGATTTTAACAGGAGAAGAAAAAACACAGTATAGTTAGAGGAGACTCAGGGCAATGCTGTGCCCTGTTTCCCAGCAAGCTCCAGCAAGGCTATCCATGGTAGACATCTCTAATGGGGAAAGCTTTAAGACATTATGCAGTGATCCTTCATCTTTAAAAGAGTTGTTGCATTTTCCACATTCCTAGCAGAACTGGATCTAGAAAAGAGATCACTCTCACTCTAACCCAAAAAAGACCCTAGCAGATCTAGTAGCAGGTAAACAGCTAATGCATTGCAAAGTAATATAAATGTCATCGTGCTCAGCACAATGAGCAGACCAATCACCACCAGTGTCACTCACAGGCTGCTCATTAAGAATGAACCTCCCAAGCATCTATTTGCTTAAAGGAATCACACAGGTGAGGATTAAAAAAAAAAACCTCAGATGCAACAAATCAGGACACCACCTCCAGTCAGGAAAATTTACACACACAGCCCTTAGCAAGCATAAATACAAATTACTAGATTTCTTTTCTGGTTCTGAAGGTTTTAAGTGTGCTTTGGCATCACAGTTTTTCTGTGTCCTAATTAATACATAATATTAGTCTCAACTGGAACTATAGCTATACCTTTAACTAGAGGCATTAATTATACCTTCTAAAAGGCCTGCTGACCTGAAGTCGTTAACCCAATGATTTGGGACACCTCTTGACAGTCTGCCTTTTATTAGGAGTGTAGCCAGTAATTTATGTCTTGAAAAGCTTCAGGTGCATATAATTATGGCAGCTTCCTTTTAAGCAATACTTTTAAAATAAATCCTGTAATTACCTAGATGACACATTCAGGAGCTATTATAAAGGATGCTTAAAATTAAAGGGGGGGGGGCAGAATTCAACCTTATTTTCAAGAAGAGTGGTTCCTTCCTTCTTTTCCTATAAAGATGAGGATACTTAAGAAGTTTTTCCATTTGTTTCTGTGCATTTATAAAACCATCAGAAACAGCCCAGCAAAACAGGTTCTCTTTTGATTGCATGTGGAACTGAACATCATTCACCAGTCTGCACTGAGGCTCTGAAATCCCATCAGAGTTATCTTTCTCCAAACAATATTTAGAGACTCTCTCATAATTCCATTGTTAGACTGCAGCAGATCACAGCCTTTATGAAAGGTGGAATCAAAATAAACCAGGAGAAAACTTCAGCCACATTTATATGAATCAAAATATGGTTGTTTTTTATCAAGCTGCTCTTCAGAATATTTTTTACTACCTTACTTGGTTTTATATTTCCCTTAAATTGCCAGAAAGTGATTTCCTCTATATTTTAATCATTCAGATGTGACTAACTTTTGGGAAAGCTATCTTTTTACTTCTAATATCCGCTTTTATATGGCAACTTAATCATGCTGGGACTTTTTGTCTTGTCTGAACTTTTTTTGTAATGTGGCCTCCAGTGTGTGCCTTTAGAGCAAAGAAATCTCCCTGACAAGATTTACAGCCAGAGCTGTTATTTTTTATTTCACTTCAGCCAAGCTGCCTCATTTTCATGTAGTTCCATTCTTGAAATTATATTATTGTTGTGAATTATCTTGTCAAGGGATTTGCGTTTGTGTATGCTTTGTGCACCATTACACAGTGGCTGGCTGTATTTACATCTGGCACCAGACCGGGTGCACTGCTCAGAGCTAAACCAAGAGCTGTTTTTTCTGATCTCAGTTTCTGACTAGCTGCTCCTAGAAGGTATTGAAGGGTGTGTGAGAGTCATCTCATGTCACTTTACTTTTATGTAGTAGCTTATGTAGGCAACGTGATGGAATAAGATGCACTGGCTAAATATTTACATTGGTATTCATTCACCCCAGTTTATACTTCTGTACTGTGGACATCTGCATCTGAGTTTGTTACTCCCTTAAAATCAGTGGAAAGAGGATGTTTTTAAGACGCAACTCATTGCTTCATTTTAGACCACCTCACAAAAATGAGAGGAATCGCTCGTGAGAAGCGTCAGTTCTCTCTATTAACTATAAAGAGAGCCTACAATGACTAACTCAGGTGTAGCTGAGATGAGTCACTCCCTAAATACTGAGTCCCTGCTCTAACCTCCATCATGCCATTAATTCAGTATGTACAGAGCCAGCTGAAAAGCCATGACTGACAGAGATTCTCTGTTATATTTGCATGCAGATGGCTGACTTTATGCTTTCTTTAACATCTACTTGTATCACCTACTCTGCCTACTGTAAAATGTACCTTGAGAATACTATGTCTATTGATTATTTTTTACCAGGTTTCTCAGGTGCTTGTATACTCTTGATCCTGATTTATGACTAGGTCACTCATGCTAGTTTCTCTAAGATATTATCATTTTAAAGAAGGCATTTTGCCTGGGTCTTAGCATCTATTTTTACATGTTGTCCTTAACTGGGGTTATTTCTTCTTCAATTTTTGCAGTTTTCTCTTTTGATATCCTGTCCCTCTTTGTAGCTTATGAGGTTGTTTTTACAGCATCCCTTCACAATATACCAAGTTGAACCACATATTTTACTATACCTATTGCTTTCCCCATCTGAAGAATGCTCTGTATCCTTTTTTTTTTTTTCCTCTCTCTTTGGAGTGTCAGCAATCTTGTTCCATTTTTGTCTACATTGGATCCATCCTTTCTCTCTGTGTTCCACCAGTTCTGGAAGTTTTGTGAGTCCTTAAACTTTTTTTTCTACAGCATTTTCTCAATGGTGGTTTGAGATTGCTTCTTTGCCTGCCTCTGCACATGGTCCAGGTCTTCATCCATCTCCTTAGCAGCTTGAACATTGCCTGCAGGCCAAAATGCTTAGTATGTTTCCAAGACCATCAACAAACATAAATGATTTTTAAATGTGTTCTGCACAGAAAAATGATGGTGGAATGTCTGAGAGTAGAGAACTAGAGTTACAAAATTGAAAAAAATCGAAGGGGTAAAAGAACTAAAGGGATTACAGAGGTTGTTTCAGTCATTAAGTTGATTTATACTCCCTGGGAGAAGAACCCATTTTTAGGACCTCCATGGAAGCTGAAAAGTCTGCTAAAATCTGACTATATTCTTTGCCTCACAGTCTTTCTTTCTATATATACCTCTGGTTCAGGAAGTGGGAAAGGTGATTTTCAGTGTCACTAATGGTCATGGCATGATTACAAGTTTTCCTAGTGACCTTTTCTTGCTCCATGATTAACACAGTTGCACCAAGCATTCAAACTCATGCAACTTCAGCAAGGAATTTGATAATAAGGTCAGCACATTTACCCATCCTATATCTGCTTGGTCTAGAGCCTCCCCATCAACTTCCATATGTGGAATTGTTCTAAATAGTTCCACTGAATCCAAATTAAATGAGAATTCTAGCCTATGATGTAAATTTCAACATATTGTTGTTATTGAGATACATCTTTTACTTTCTGAATTTGAGATCTTAATCCTGGACTGGATGTGATGAAATCTCTTAGAGCGACTGAGGAGAGAGGTAAGTCAGTGAAAATGGCCACTGACTACTCAATTTGATATCTCTGGGTATGTCTCATTTGGACTGACTGGAGACCTGTTCAGCTGTGACTTGAGATGATGTATTTTCATTAAGTTTTGTACTGCATGTAAAGAGCAAGTGAGTAAGGAACCCTTCACACTGGGTGCTGTGCAAATACATACCTTGCAAAATGTCAGCCCTTGCTCCAGAAATTTTACTGAGGAGATATCAAACATTTAAAGCAAACAATCAGCTCAGGACTGAAAGGCTTTAAAATATATTTATAAAAATGCAAGATCCTTGGCCAGACTCAGAAAGAATTCACAGTCCACTCCCCAGTTATTACCAAGTTTCAGGTTCAAGAGAAGGAAGTTCTGACAATCAGTCTGAAAAAAGAAAATGAAATTGCTTCACCTAGACTGAGCTAACTTTCCCTCACCTATAGTGGGAACTGGCAGAAATACAGAGCTTGAGAGGGAAGCAAACAAGATTGTTACCAAAACACTTGTCAGGGACAGAGTAAAGATGGCAATTCACAGCTCAATGAGGTAGGTGTGAGACCCATTGCACAGAAATGTTCTGGAAGAAGATTTGCCTTTTCTTTTAAAAAGAAAGTATTTTTACTATTGAGAAGTGTAGAAATAACAATAATTGTATCAGGTAAAGTGAAAGAAAAGAAGGCACTGTATCAGGGAGACAGGCACTTCTTTAAATGACAGTGAGGTAGCATACAGTTTGATTGCATAATTCCTTAATAGCATCCATGAATCCCCATTACTTTTTAATTTCATAAGCCTAGTTCAATTCAAAAAGTTAATGCACAGTTCTGCTCCAGCTGTCTGTTCCCCATTGCTGGAAAACAGTTTAAAATTTTGCTTAGATCAGGACAAAAGTTATTAGAAACAAAGGAACAATCACGGAGTACATTTAACATTTCAGAAGATTCTTGAAGTGTTAAAACATATGTAAGTTGTGGAGAAGAACAAGAATATTTCTCGATCACTGTTTGGTCAACCAGTTCTGAATGGAGAGAAGTTATCTGAAGGTTTGAATGGCCAAACAGTTACAGAAAACAAAAATGTTCATGTCTTAGAATAGGTACATGTAACTAAAGCAAGAAATGCTGAAAATTATTTAGACTCTGTATCTCTTCTTCTGTTTTTATAATCCGCTTTCCAAAGGCATGTCATCTTATTAATTATTGATGTTCCCCACTTAACATACAGCCTTTGAGCAAAAGATCTGAAAATGCTTCACACATTTACATTAATAGATATGTTGAATCTTGCTTCCTGCAGAAAAGGGTCCTCTAGCCAGGCTTCAGTATAAACTTACTTCTTTCTGGTATTAAAGAGTTGACTGTTAGAATTTATAAGCCAGTGAATTCTGAGTGTTGTCAAAAAGGAACAATATTACCACTATTTTGAAAAACTATACTAAATCCACTGAATTTGTATCTGGTGCCAATAAGGAAATCAGTATTTAAAAAAAAAAAAAAAAAAGAAAAAAAACAAAAAACTTAGACTCAAAAAGCTTCTATTAATTCACAGGAGGCAAGATATTGTTTTCATAAACTGCAACCAACGCACCTCAGTGCTACATGCCAGGTTTGTACCCATGGGGATTGGCAAAGCAAAGGGTGATACAAGTAGGCTAATAGAAAAGAAGATAATGGGAAGAAAAACAGCTAGAGTAAATCCAAACAAGAGATAAAGGTATAGAAACATAAACAAATGGGAACTAGAGCAAGTGGAAAAGTGCTAAAGAGATGTCATATGAAAAGCAGGTCACCCCCATACCAGTCGAAGCAGGTCTCCCCACCACCAGAGACAGAAAGTCCTGCCTCTGAGCAAGCCTGAGATCTAATGGATATGACAAAAAAACCACAAATATCTAAGTGACACCAGGATGACAAAGGATATGAAGTCCAAAGGGGATCAATAGATTTGTTTTTTAAAAATATTTCAAACTTTAGTTCGATTTTTCTAGTGTATGCAGACACATTGTATGCATGAGTACACATCTGTAACATACACATCGGTGTGCATGGGAATTTCTGGGAAGAAATAGAAATGAGAGGAAGCAATTTTTAAAAAAAAAAAAGGATACAGTGGTTAGTACCCATTCAATGTTTCTTAAGAGCTTTTGAGGCATAAGGAATAGGTAAAGAGTGTTCATTTGCATAATTTGGCATGATATGAGCTGAGAGACTTATTTTCCACCCAAAGCAGTCTCATATAATAACCTCTAAGGGTTTTGTGACAAAGACTACCACAGTACACCTGCCAGCCTACCATGAAATTCTTGTAGATATTCAGATAGTAGCACCTAATGTCCACTGGGAATACTGCAGTCTGTTAGCCAGCATAAATCACATCTTCAGCACTGCTGTGCAAATGGTTAACCTTATCCAAGCCTAGCCAAAAAGGTGAATAATTTCTTCACTATGCAACAAAGTGGAGGACAACCACATGAGCTTACTTCTGCAGAAACGAAGACTGGCAGCAATGGTGAGATGACATTCAGAATCGCTTGTGCCTTTTCCAAAATTTGTTTAGAAATGCAGTCTTTCTCCTTGACCCTTCTGCTTGAATTACCACATCACCTTGAAAATGAAGCATGGGTTTGCTGGATTGCTTGCCTCTCACATATTTTCCCCCAGCTCAGTGTAGGAACACACAGACAGAACATCCAGTCTTCAACACACATGACACAAACTAAGCAGCTACAGCTCCAGGTTTGTCAAGTAAGAAAGGGGAATGCTATATTCTAACTGTCTGACAGCTCTTTGGCTCAAAGCATCAAGATATGATAGGTAAAATGTGAAATATGGGAACTCTTGTTTGTACTCAAATCCCAGTCCCACCAACACTTCCCTGAAGCAAGCAAAAAGGAATAACTGATTGCAGAGCCAGTGTGTACAATGCAGCAGCTATGGTTCCAACCCAAAATCTGTGGAGAGAGAGTAAATCCTCAAGTTATGGTATGACAGTTGACTAAAACTTGAACTCAAAGACTTGCTGCCAATACACCCTCCTTTGGCAGAATGGGTCATGACTGCCTTGATGCTGTTTGAGACCACACATATATAGGAGCTTTCAACAACAGTTTCAAGGAGGACAAAAATATTGATGTGAGCAGGATACTGATGGGAGTTTACAGTTGAAATTGTCACGTCCTACTAAATCTTCACTTGCTTTCTTCCAAAAAGCAATCTCAACTTTTAATTATAAATGGTTCTCAAGCACTAACATTTTCTTCCTCATTTACCCTACTAATTGTCGTGTTATATTGTGTCATTATTGGCAACAGTTAGAATACTAATCATCAAATCTATTTAAAATGGACTCTCCCTGATCAAAGCTATGGAACTGCCCAGTTAAATAGAAAAAAAAAAAGTATCAGCATTTACAAAATTAAATCCTACTGCACCTTTTCAAAACAAGATATCTGCCAGGAGCTTGTGAAATATATCTATAGGTGAATCATCTTCTAACACTAGTGAAATAAGAGCCAAGCAGATTGTGGACCGGACTGATTAAACTAGAAATTTAGTGGGAACAAGAGATGTAATTTATTTACAAAAGTTTTTGTTTGTTTACTAACTGAATGTTAATCCCTGCAAGACTTTTCACATTCAGGTCTGTATTCACCTGCGATGAATCATTTTTATTTTGGGTTATTCTATTGCTTGTTCTTTTGAACAGTTCCTTGGCAATCCGTGGACTTAAATTCACTACTGAGCAATTTTGCATGGAAAAGTTGTAAAGGAATCTGCACCTCCACTGAAAAATATCTACAGATGCACAAAGTCATACATAAGGCTGGGCTAAGCTGCTCTGGAAGCATGTCTGTGAATTGTCTAATTTCCTGCTTTTGAAGGAGTTCACTGGGTAGCATCATGGTCCAAGTATGCACTACAAGTATGTTACAGATGACAGTACACAAATGGCCTGGCATGCAGTTGCTGCAGCCAGCTGCATGTTCTAGTCATGGTCCCAGCTATCTGCTGGGCCTTGATCCCACTGGCTCTGCAACCCACTTCCACACTCTTGACTTCATGCAGAGGCCGGACGCGAGGACTGGATGGACACCACAAGGTGCCCCAGACAGGTGCCGTTCAGTATGACTTGGCTAAGGAGCACGACTGTGGCCTGCATCAAACAATATGTCTACATGGAGCACAGGCTCTGAGGACACCCCATCCTTCCAGGGTATAAGACAGAAAACACCCACCCATTCAACCAGTTTATCAATGAAACTTCAGTTTGGGGATTTTTTTCAATGAAAGAAGGATACAGAAGCTTTCCAGAGGTGACACAGCCAACATCTGCCAGGACACACCTTGATCTGGATAAATGCCAAATAAAATCTAGGGCAAGAATAAAAACCAAACATTCACTATTAGCGAATACAAAAACTAAAGAATACCTGCTAAGCCTGTATTAAATACTTAAGACTCTTTCAAACTGTACATTAAATTGTAAGATTGCTTTCAGTATTTTCAAGTAAGTTTCCAACACAGCTGAAAAGCAGCCCTGGGATACTTAACAAGGATGACTAATATTCCTTCCGTAAACTTACTGCTAAAGTCACACATTCAATGTATTTTATCCAAGTATCTTTTAGGACAAACTTGTAATCTCAAAGATCTGTCTGGAAAGCAACACCCACATCTGAGGGAATACAGAGTGTCATCTTTTTTGTCTCTGATACAGAAGCCCCACTAGCCAAAAAAGGGTTCCTCACAGCAGCTAAAAGGATAAACTTCAACTATGTTTCTCAAGTCTTGCAGCCTAAGATTTTGCTGATATTGAAGATTTTGGTAACAGAGGGCAGCACTCTGGCAGCCCCAGGAGGGAGCTGCCTACCTCCTCGTGGCCTTCTGCCTTTCACTCCATGGAGCACTGTGATTGCTGGTGCATCCTATCTGGCACAGTTTTTCCTATGAACATTCCCTAGGTGTTAGCCAGTATCTAAAGACTCATTCTAAATTCAACAAGCAAGCATTAAGGACATACAAATTTGAGTTTAACCTGCCTCCTCAAACTCAACTGCCTACCCTACCACATTGTCCAGGGTGGTGGCTAGTGTACCAAACAGTGGTCCAATTAGGCATAAGGCCCTGTACAGTATTTTCACTTTTTGCCATCTTGCCCCCCACCTTGAGACATTTTTTTATTAGCTAAGACCAAATATCACACTTAATTTTGAACTAATTCCAAGGAACTGGGGCAGGGGGAAGGGTTGCTAATTCAATACTTACAGAGCAGACAACTACAAAGATAAAAAGGCCTGAAACTTTTAGGAATTTTAGACAGCATCTGAAATATAAGAAACATGTATTTACTATATGGCTAGTTCAAAACAAATCTTTTCTGTTCTCTTAATAGCTCTGGCATTTCAGAAGCACTGTGGTGAGCACTTATGGGTGATAATATACTGCGTCAGAGAATGGACACCACTACACGGGGTCAGCAGGGGCTTAGGAAGCCTTGGTGACTATAAGGGCCTCCTGGCCCAGGTCTGCTGCCAGCCTGGTCTCATTGCACAGAGATTTTACCCCTCAGGCTGCAGCATGAGCTGGCGCTGGGACCTGCAGCCACTTCTCTGCTGCTACTGCTGGCCCCCAACAGACCCAGTGCCCCATCAGCTCGCCCTGGTCTCTCCCAGGGAGGCAAAGGAGCATTGCAGCCACAGGGAGGTGGCATGGCAGAGTAGAAAGCACAAGCTTGTTGCATAGAGGGGTGATGTCATGAATGACTCCCTAAAAACTGGACTTCTGATATACATCCTGAAAGGTGTTGGGAAAAGACAGTTTGAAGATGAGAAGAAGCTTTAAGAGTCTCATAGTTTTAATAGTGTCTTTTTAAATGAAGTACACTTCATGAGCATCTCTAGATAAACCAACTAGCAAAATTTAGATTTTTTTTTTTTTTCCATAGCATATCTGCGCCTTTTGAAGGAATGCCTGGTTCTAGAGATTTGATGACATCAAATTTTCTGAAGTCTCAGAGCTTACTACTGAGTGGGTTAGGCAAGAATAACTCCAAATTAAAATGTGGATGTTGAAAATGCATGCTCTCAAGTAAGAAATCTTAAGATTTAACACTTTTAAATTACCATTTTTTTAATCTTACTATAAAGGGCAACTCTTAACTAATTATTTTCTTGCTGCCCACCACTATGTTACACAGATGTCTTTATTTACATAACTCTTTTTGGTGATTTGCCCTTATTACATCTTTTCATTAATTGAAGACATTGAAGTTCTTATTCCATTTTTCAAAAGTAAACATTCAAACATTGCTTTTCTGACAGAATGACAAATGCAAGGTTTGATGTAAGCCTGATGACAAGCAAGAAGGAAAACATTTCAGGTTCCTAGGATAATTAGTTGGTAAGGGAACAGCGCAATAAATAGCTGCATTGACAGGAGCTATAGAACAAAATATTAAAGCAGAGTAGTCTGAAAAGAGTCAGAAATAATTTTTAATCACAGTGGAAATAAGTCCCTAAATAAAGTTCATTGACTGAAAACAGCATGAGTGACTAGAGACCCATTTTTTAGAAACATTGTTTTCTAAAGATCCCTTCCTCTTTAGAATTCTCCAAACAGGCAGAAAAAAACCCTAGTAAATTAGCTAGTAAAAATACGTTGCCACAGACAAACTGATACAAAGGGGTTACAATATCCTATGAAATACCATGGTAGCATCTTTATGCAAACTTTGTACAGTATAAAAATCTAGAGAAGGGAGAGGAAGACGGGAAGCCAGCTAGGTGGCTTCTGAGAGAAATGCCAGGTAGCCCTGCTCTAACAAAAACCAGGGTGGCAGAGAGGGGGAAGAGGATAATAAAAGCTTGAAGAGAGAAGAATGACAACAAAAGCCATTATCAGCACCTCACAACTGATAACTTCTTTTGCTATTGTGTGATTTATGGAAAATACCTAGTGCCAGCTTAGTCATGTACCCTCTATTCTACTTGTCTATTCTCCCCATCTCTACATTACAGTTCTATTTTGGTATTTTTGAGAATTTGTTATGTTATAAATTATCAGAGCCCAGTCCAGATTGGTTTCATTTTAAGGTACTTGATATTTTCTCTTTGCACCTCCAAATTATCATTTCTAATAATAATAATTCAAATTATTATTGAAGCAAGAAACAGCAATAACTTGATTTTAAGACATAAGAGAAATCAAAAAGCATTAATTAAGCCTTCATAAATTCATAACCACTTGTCTGTAAATAACAAACTCATCTAACGGAGCTGGCGAGATATAATAAAAAAGCTTCTGGAAATGGTTATTTTATTAAATGTAGAATTTAGAAGGCTCTTTTCCTCCCATCTGTTTGTTTTCAGGGCATTTTGTATTAGGGAAGGAGCGTTTTTAACGGATTACTGTTGAGAAGGTATCAGCCTTTGACTGCCCATGGTTTGCAATCTGTCTTTTCTTACAGCACTAATTTGGCACAGAGATGCAAGTACAAACCCTGTGCCAAATCCTGCGCTGACATACACCTTTGGTGCAATCCTATTTGACTTCAGTGAGAAATGCATGAAGTATAAATCTATGAAGGATTTCACCCCCTGTTCTAAACCAAATGATTTTTATTCTGTTCTGCATGTGGTGTTGGGCAGTTTAGCTCCATTTAGTATCTTAGCAGAGTTATGCTGATTTATGACAGCCAAGGAGCTGGCCCCATACGTACAACCCGCACTACAGCAATGAAAATATTTCACGGGAAGTTCTGCCAGAGAAATGCGCTACCCCCCAGATTATAAACCTACACTGGACTGGAAACAATGGATTCTACACTCTCACTCAATGCTTTCGTTCCATCAAATACCAGGGAAAGCTGCTGTGAGCGTGAAGAAAGATGTCTGCCGAACTTCTTCATATCTGCTCAATATTGCGCTAATTGAAGCCATTCAAATTCTCCTGTTCCATTTGTTGAGCAGCAGTGCAGGAGAGTGGCACTCTGCACAATACTGTATGCACAATGAAAGGAGGAAAACAATTGTGAAGTGATGTGCTAAGACAACGTACAAACTGGGAAAAGATGCATGGAAGTCTCATTGGAAAGGCTACACGGATCAACGTAGAGATGCAGACATGCAGTGCTGGGCTCCATGCAAATCTGCAGAGCAGAGGCCAAACCAAACTAGCAAAAACTGTTGAAATTCTGGAAGGGGCAGAGAGAAATAATACCCAAGATTAAAGGGTTTGCTAGTTAAATCCCAGGGAAAAATATCCAGAGAAAATTTGAACTCTTATCACATTGGTGTCTTTTAATATATTATCAGATTCAGTTTCCTCCATGCCTAAATGAGGTAAAAGACTACTTCGAGGTAAAGAGCAAAATATATTAATGTACCTAAAGATAGAAAAATGCTCAGTTAGATTTTGCATTGTGTATATGTGAAAAGCTACTGTAATGACTAGAGAAAGACTGTGTTCGATACATATTTTAATTAAAGTGAAGTATTTCATAAAAGCAACAAAACACTGAAGAAGAAAGCTGTGGAATCAACCAAGGGGCTTTTAAGAAATGGTTTCAAAGAAACGTTAAAAGCAATATAGAAAGTATTTGTTAACAAATTTAGAATAGGTGCTATGATTGACACTTGTAAGAACGAGGGGCTATTGATCATTAGGTGGAGGCTGTAATCAATTTCACCAGTTTATTTATAAACTATCAATGGCAAGATACGGCCTAAATGTGGAGTGTTATTTTATTCATTTGCAGAAAATAAATCATTTCCTAGACACCTATACTTAAAAACTAATCCCTGCAGAAATTAAAAAAAAAAAAAATAAAAAAAGAAAGAAATTAATGTTTGAATTCAGACCTCATCTTTGATAAATTGAACTTGACATGAAGGTTGTCCAAGATTTCATATTTCTCAGAAGAAGCAGATCTGGACAAACTAGTAATTTCACTTCCCAGTTGAAACCTTTGCTCAAATTCTGCAGAACTGTTGTCCCATGAGTCATCATCAGCGGTAAAATCTGGATTATGAAGAGCCGTGCACTGCAACCTGTCACACATTCCCAGTAAACATAATAAAACAAAAAAGTGGTTTATTTCAACAGATAGTAGATGCAGCCCCTTGCATATCCTCAGGTTCACTATGAGAGATTTTAATGGAAAAATTCATAGAAAGAGATTTATTCAGTACAGACTGAGCTCCCCTTGGTGACACAGCTAGGTAGACGGGGAGCAAAGACAAAGACCCCATGACATTTAGGTGCACCTGGGAGAACCAGCTCTCTGACGCACCAGGCGGATGTACCTCAGGATTTGATTTGCTGTGTAAACCCCCTATAAGGACCCTGCCTATAGCTCTGCTGTGTCTTCCAGTTCACCTGATGTAACAACACACAGAGGAAATGAGAGCACACAACCTGCAGTTGCCTATCCTTAGGGTTCTCTAATCATCCTGACCTCAGACCTTACATCCTTCCCTTCCCCATCTACAGCCCCTTCTTTCCACTCAAGCTCCTCCAGAGTAATTCTCTGCTCACAACCCCTGCCATTCACTTTATTTCCCAGCAGGTTTGGTGTCAGGATATAAGAACGAACCATGCACAATTAAATAGAAGAGAGCTTAGAAAAAAACTATTTCAAGTAAAATGAAAGTAACTCACCCATTTTCCTCTGAGGAATCTTTCAGTAGTGGTGTCTTCTCTGTAAGGCCAGTGTTTTTTGACCTTGAGCTGAATAATTTGGAAAATCTGAAGTGATGACGTTGGAGAGGAAAAAATAAAAAAAACAAGAGAACAGTAAGCCTGCAGTACAATGATTCACTACAGTTCTACGGAATATTTTGCTACAAGTGCATCTAACCAGTTAAATATTCTTTAAGAATGGTGTTCACCTAAATTAAGATTTTCATTAAGTTTGAACTAGCCATGGTAGTGACTTCCTTATAGTCCTAGGGGACTGCACTGCATAAAATGGGAGAAATTTATCTTATCCTAAAAGCGGCATCTAAAATAGTCAATTAAATTCCCTCTGAATGCCAGAAGAGCAATAGATGTCTAACTCACACGCTTCTATTTTAGACACCTACATTTACAGTGGAACAACTGCACTGTAATATTAGTGAGGCAAAATTCTTAAGGTAAATAATTACATATATTCATATATGTTCACGTTAATATACTTAATAAAACATAAAATAATAGGATAATTTCTGTCCTGTAAATGTCATTTGAGACATGGATCACCAGAAATCTACTAATCTCTACAACAACCTCATCACCCTTCGTATTAGGGAAGAAAGCTTTATGTACAAGTACTTCATTCCTGCAGTACAATCCCTTCCAAACAGTTTCTGTCAAGTCTTGGTCCTGGTGCTGCAGATACTTAAAAGAGAGTAGGCTACCTCTTGCCATATTGCAGCTTAGCATTGTTAAGAAGCCTTTTGCTAAAATATAAATCCCAAAGCTTAAGAAACAGCTAAAGCACAATCACAGGGGTCTAGCTTTGGGGCAGACTTCTGGTAGAGATTAAATAATTGAGCCATTTTAGAGCACTCCCCAAGACCTGGCTCTTTCAGAGACATTTCCCATCAAGACCATCATTATTTACACATGCTCAGATTTATTCCATTCAAAACTGCAGCCACCCATCACCAGAAAGTCCTGAAGAAATCTGCTAAACATACAGTCAATATGCAGATCTCATTACCCCCAGGAAACCTTAAATGTCTTCTGCTGTTGCTGGACTGTGAGGAGAAAGAAATTATAAAATCATAGGCAATGAAATATATATACAAAGGTGACTGGCAATTCAATCTTCTAAATATAAGGCTAGTCCAAAAAGAAGGATCTGTGTATTTGACTTTATAACACAATGGAAGACAGTGGAATTTCTTGCAATTTGTAAAGGTATGCGTGAACTCAGACTTTGCAAAATTAAAACCTCCAGTTAATGCTTCAGCTTGCTTGTTTAGTAGTGTTATCATTCAGAAGCTATGCTAGGTGTGGAGCAACTGAATAACATTATTTCAGCCTTGAGTGGCCACAACGCTCATTCAAACTCTGCTGTAAGCACCATATATGCAGTCTCAACAGAAGAGAATGGATGAATTAGACTGAATTATCCAGTACCTAGAGTCAAATGTTGGGCAGATTACAATTCAGGTGCTACATTGCACTGACAGTTCATCTGTGAAGAGATGATTGCATACTCTGAAGCTATCAAAGTGCTTCCTTTTTTAAATAGTAGAATATCATTCACACAAGTTTAAGTGGAGAAATTCTGGTATTTTGAAGCAAGTGTTATTCTAATCTCATCATAGCCTTAGATGTAAAAGATTACCTAGAGCTTTTACAAAATGGAATCCATGAGGATAGCAAAAACACTATCAGGTCTTAAAATGTGTGCTCACTGAGCACTACTGATATGCTCCTAGCTAATCCCAGCATCCCATTACATATACAGTTTGCATCCAAAGGTGAAAATTTTAATCAAAATCCTGATGGTGGACCTTGAACTTGTACATTCAGAAATTTAACTCACACAAAGACCTATTAGCTGTTGCAGCTGTTAAACAAAATGATGCCACTTGTTCCACAAAAAAAGCTCCAAATAGTATAAATTATATGCTGTTCTGATCTAACCTCATAGTATGCACACCATTAACTTTTCCACATTTACTTTTCTTCTTTTCCTCCTAGGTGTCATGGTTTAACCCCAGTTAGCAACTAAGCACCACACAGCCACTCACTTACCCTCCCCATCCCCATCAGGATGGGGGAGAGAATCAGAAAAAAAGTAAAACCCATGGGTTGAGATAAAGGCATTTTAATAAGACAGCAGAGGAAGGGAAAATAATAATCATAAGGACAAAAGAATATACAAAACAAGTGATGCACAAAACAATTGCTCACCATAGGCTGACTAACACCCAGCCAGCCCCTGATCAGCAATCACTGCCCCCCAGCCAACTCCCCCCAGTTTATATACTGAGCATGACATCATACTGTATGGAAGAGGCCTGTGGTCAGTTTGGGTCAGCTGTCCTGGCTGTGCCCCCTCCCAGTTTCTTGTGCACCTGGCAGAGCATGGGAAGCTGAAAAGTCCTTGACTAGTGTAAGCACTACTTAACAACAACTAAAACATCAGTGTGTTATCAGCGTTATTCTCATACTAAATCCAAAACACAGCACTATGCCGGCTACTAGGAAGATAATTAACGCTATCTCACTGAAATCAGGACACTAGGACGTGTGCAAAATCTGAGCTTAGTAACCAGAAAGCTTTCTACAAAAACTTCTATTTTCTTCAAATTGTTAGAGGATGATACCAACACTGCTTTGTGTTATGTAGGCATACAACTATCTACTGACACTTTCCCACCTCAGCAAGTTTTCACCACTACTGTGAGTGACCAGTCTGCAAAGAGTGCTGAAGGGCAAAGCAACCACAAAGAGAGGGATAAACATTTGGTGGAAAGTGGTTTAAATGGCAGAGCATGAAGTGAAGGATCCAGAAGGCTAGTTAAAGACATCAGCTGTACTTTCTTTTTGCACATTTGTTATCCTCACTTCCCGATATAGGTCTTGCCACTTTTAAATGGAACTGTAGAGCTTCACAGATTGCCAAGAATGGCCAACACAGTAAAAATGAAAAAGGTCTTCAGATACAGTGAAAGCAATTAATACATGACAACATCAATTTGCAGAGAGTAAAAACACATGGGCAAGAATAAGCAGCAGGAAACAGCCAGGCTTGACAAAACAAAAATAATTAGAGAAAAAGCAGAAGAGCCTCAACTCCCCCATGATGTGATTACTCTAATTAGAGAATGAGAGTAATATAAACAATAAAGCTAATTAGGGCATAAAAGAATCTTGAAGGCTGAAAGCTCTAGAAAGAAATATTGAAAAAACATCATGAAAAAATAGCATGGGTTATAAAAATAAGTCATCCCTGAAGAGAGAGCCTAATGCAAGCTCCTCTGTGCCTCTCATACTTCTGCAGAGACACTATTGGTACGATTTGGTCATACACTTCATCAAAAGATAACAGAGATCATCTGCAAGCAAAACCTAGGACGGCCCAAAGACCCCCTGTTATTAGAGAAGCAAGTCTGCAGTGCTCAAAACCCCTCTCAGTATCATTCTTGGTGCTCCTCATCCATGCAAGTGGCAATTATGACACTGTGTAAATAAGGGAAAGGTATCAGTGTGACACATTTCAAAATCTAGGATAGGTTTACACTTTGAAACTTTCTTCACAATCAAAAGAGCTAGAAACTTTGGTTAGACCTACATGTTAGAATGGAGTGCAATCTATCTCTGCTGAGCAATTCAGCAACATTACCAAAGAGTTAATCACCAGGTCAGCTCATTAGCCCATTGTGGATACACCCATTCATAGGATCAGAAAAAATGGTCTGAATTTTTACTATGTGAGGAGCTGGTAATCCAGACATCAGTTGTGTCCAGTGTTCTTCTCTCATGATTCAGACTCAAAAATCATGAGCATTTTATACATGAAATATGAGAAGAGACATGAAATAATTGCCTTTACATATGTATACATTATATTTAGATATGCACATAGATCTTCACACAACAAATTAACATTCTCATTTCCCTTTCATTCAAAAGTGATGGGAGAAAATTAAAACCAGAAGCTATGGATAGAAGTGTTTGACAAGGACTTCTTCACAGACCTACCAAGCACCACTCATATGGACAGATCCACATAGAACTGACATCAGAAAAAGAAAAGTATGTCCTGCCTCCTGTACACCCACAGCTGTGGCCACATTCACTCTCACATTTGCTACAGCTGGGTATGTTTTTTTAATTAAGAGAAATCTTTTAAACAGAAGATTGTGTTCTTAGCTACTGCTGTGACAATCATATATACAGATTCTGGCTGTCTCTGCAGGACTATAGGTTTGTTTTGAGGAAGCGTGTGTTTTCTGAGCTGGTTACTTGCAGTCAAAGTCATACTTTCCCATTGCTAATCTTCCAAGCAATTGCAATCTCTGTCTGTCTCCATAGTAACCCAGAGAGGAAACAGCATTG